AGATACTGAGTGTTACGTAGTTGAAAGTCAACCGGGAGTTTGCTGAAGTGTCAATGTTTTTAAGGATATGCACTTTGTGAACTGCATTAATAAGTGTAAAGCCACGGGCCCTCTCAGTTTGTTTCAACGTGGAACTGTTTGCCGGACCGCCCTGCACTGCACTGTCTCAATTTCTCTGGAGACAATTTGAATGCTCGTGTGGGGTCGAACCCTGAACCTTCTGAATATAGGAAACCTGCAGGTGTGCTGTTCGTGAGGTCAGGAGCGATTTCCGGTCGACGTTCTTTTGTTCTCTGGTTGTATCTTTGCAGGATACTCGCTGCTCGTTCGACTTTTGTTTTTTGCTAGTCTAGTCTTCCGCCAACAGAGCGTGACGTGGTCGGTTGTTGCTCGCATTTTTGTTATTGTTTTGCTGGTAATAGTAAGTAAGGGTCTTCCAACTTTTTTACCGCGAGTCAGGCGACGCTACGCCTGCCAGCGTTTTTCTGGCTGAGTGAGTGGCGTCGCGGGAAACAAAGTGCGAGTCTTTGAACCCGTCGTCTGAGGCGTGTCGGCCGAAACGCGTATTTAAGTTGTGAATCGGACGGAACTCGTTATGGGCGCGGTCCGCCATTTTGAGTTCATCTGTGATCATTGAAGATGCTGTTGGGAACGTAAGCCCAAGCGTTTGCGAAGAAGCAGAAATGAGATGGTCGTCTCTGGGGCACTTCCTGCCACCATCTTCAGGGCGCAAGAACCCAGGAGACAGCCATCGTCGCGGTCCATGATGTTGGACGATTGGTTCCAAATTTGTATTGGGGGGGTTGGGGGGGTCACACCGTGTGGTGTGAAACAGGGGCTGTTTGGAGAAGTGAAGATGCAGTGGCTTGATTTTGAAGCGACGCAGTAGGACAGGGGTTGTAGGAGAAAGATGTAAATGATGTGATGGAAGAGGGCGGTCGAGGAGCCATGTGCCACTCTTGTTTTAATTGTTGCCTTAACGCTTCCGAGTTATGTACGTTCTATGAAGGCAGAACAAATTCGGAATCTCGGCTTCATTTGTTCGTCCTGCTGGTATCCATTTGTCCTGAACTTCGGACATAAAATGAAGAAGGAATTTCAGGTAGTTGGAGAAGAAAATAAGTTTTTTTTTATTTCGTGGAGGTTTGTGACCTCCTTGGGCGACCGACTGTCTCATGATCATTTACGAATCTCTCGTGAACGCTGACACGAAGGAATAACAGCAATAATTCCTTCCATTGCTGATATTCGACACTTCGTCGTCATTCATGAATCGAGGTGACGACCCCGTACTCGTCAGCGAGAGGTTAATCAGAAAATGATTGATCCGCGTCTGCCTTCGCTGTCGCTGATTGCGTAGTTCTGGAAACAGCCGACATGTAAAATTGCTTTGACTTTGTGCTGTAAGTACGAAAATGTGCAGGCGTTTATGTTCGGCGTTCAGCTACAGAAACAATTGAGTAGGCTTAAAAGATAACATCTCCAAAAAAAGTATGATTTCCGGAACATTCTGGCCGCGGGGTAAGGCCTTAATTTCCGGGATAATCCCGGAAATTCCAACACAGCTGGTCATCGTGATCAGGAGATGTGGAGGATTACGCCCGCTACTAGACGTGCAGACTGAAAAAGTAGTAGACCGGGCCCGATGAGACACCTTGCCCGTCACACGTGGCTCGACGCC